GGGGCGGGAAAGGTGTCCTCACAGAGCCCTGCCTAGTGACAGGCAGAGCCGTGTGTGTGTGTGTGTGTGTGTGTGTGTGTGTGTGTGTGTGTGTGCTTCCAAGAGGAGAGGACAGGGTGGGGTGTTAGGGGTCTGGGGAGCACCAGGTCCACCTCCTGGGAAGCTCTGTTTCAGGGAGTAAGTGGGTGGGGAGTCAGCTGTCTGCCCGGGACCCCAGGCTGAGTTAGTTCACAGGAGGAATGGAGCAGTTCCATAATGTGTGCTCTAACCACTCTGGGCACTGGCTCCTGGAGCCCCCCTCTCCTCTCCTAGCCCCCCTCCTCACCAAGCAGTTCTCTCCTTCTACCTTGGCTTCTGAGCACACTTGCTCTTCGCTGCTGCCCCCTCCCGCTCCACCCCGCTGACAGACTGTATCAGCGAATCCCTCAACAGTGTCACTTCCTTTTTTTTTTTTTTTATTTATTGCATGACTTATTTTTAGCCTGAATCAACTGCCTCCTACAAATGGAGTTCCTGATGAGACAGGGGTGGGCAGAACTATGTAAGTTATCTAGGGCTTGGCCTCCCAGCGTCCCTCGCCTGGTTCTTTTTCTGCACACGCATGTGTGTGTGTGAGCCGCTGGTCTCTTGGTCCCGAGCCGACAGATGATCACAGGCCTGGCAGGACCCAGCTAGGTGAAGAGTCCCGCAGGGCAAAAGGCAGACCAAGCTCAGCCTCACTCTGTCCCCGCAGGGCTGCGGAAGACTGCTTCGGCCGTCTTCTGGCCTCTGTCCCAGGGAAGAACACCGAAACTTGTCCCCGATGAAGAGAACTCTCCTGTTTCTCCTGGGGGTCTACGTGCTGTCCTCCTGCAGGGCAGAGGAGGGGCTGAACTTCCCCACCTACGATGGCAAGGACCGAGTGGTCAGCCTCACGGAGAAGAACTTCAAGCAGATTCGGAAGAAATATGACCTGCTCTGCATCTACTACCACGAGCCCGTGCCTGCAGACAAGGTGGCGCAGAAACAGTTCCAACTGAAGGAAATTGTCCTTGAGGTAAGCAGGGGACATGCTTCCTACACTGTCGAAGTGAGCCTGGGGGCCTAGCGGCCTGGGTTTGGCATCCCGAGGGCAGAGGGACTCAGTGCTTCGGGCTGTCTGCATTTCAGCCTCACGTAATGCATCTCAAGATCGTCTTAGTGCAAAGCTGAGATGTACACGCAATGCAGGGCGGGCCCAGACTCTTAAAACGGAGACTACAGGACATTGCACGATGCCTGGATCACATGTAAAGCCTTTCTCCCTACTGGCTTCTCAGTCTTCCCCAAGGTGATCGATCGTCCGGTCCCTTGTTTCTCTGACTGTGACAACTCTTGTTAAGCTGGGTCACTGAAATAAACTCTGGGAGCATTTGTGGATTTCACTCCAGGTCCTGTTCCCCAACTTCTGCTCTCTTCCAGTCCCCCACGATCCTGGAGAAAGGGAGGTCATTTGACCTTGCTGCTCAGGACAGGTCAGGGGGGGACTATCACTCATTGATTTTCTCCTCTGGCGAGCTGGTTTCGATCAGCCTTGCGCAGTGCACGTGTGTGAAGAGCTTTACTGTACCTTTATGAAACAGGCCTCGCGCCCCCCCCCCCCAACCCGCGCCCCCGCTCCCGTCTCTCTTTCAGAACATTTTTAGTAAGGGTTTAGAGGAGATGCTGAAGTCAGTTCTTATTTTATCTGCATGGCGTGCTCTGTTTCTAAACTGGCAGCGAGGCCCGTCCTCTAATCCTGTGTGCCCGTGCCCAGGCCCTGGCTCCTCCTGGACAGCTTAAGATCACTTACACTTCTGAGTGTCCGAAGGGGTTAAGAATTCCTCAGCAGGCCCCAGAGCCAGCCCGGCCCAGCGCCCGTCTGGGCAAGACCCCCAGCAGTTTAGTGACCAGCTCAACAAGAGAATCCAGGTTAATCAGTACCTGGATCACCAGAATTACCATGTAATACCCATGTGGGGTGGAATTCTCAGGGGGAAAAATAGACTCTACTAAATCCAGAAAAAGTATTCTGAATGCATGAAACATAACTTGGACGATTTAAAAAGCACTTCAGAATCCTGGTCAGATCATCATGCAAACATCTCTGTTTATAGGATTTGCACATGGTGGGTGTGCCCTAAAGGGAGTTCTCGGTGACAATGGTCCTTGCTCTAACAATGTCTCCACTTCGTATCCATCACCATGCCGTGCCTGTGCCCAAGTCCACGTACTTTCTCTTCAGTTTCCAATCGGGGGTCCCAGATGAAAGTCCAGTTCCCTCTGTGGGCTGCAAATAGAAGAGGAGCCGCTATTAGGGCTTTGCACCTCTGGTATAAATGGGAAAATCTCTGGCTGGGAAAACACAGGACGGTCAACACAGCTGCTGAGACTGAATTCATTATCGTGCTTATCTCACCCTGCAGGACAGTCACTAAGAAAGCTTCTATCTGGATATGAACTTGACATGTACAAGCTTCATATGTATAAAGTTTATATATTACATAATATAGTATATTAACATATCATACATGATCTACAAAGTATACAAATACTTCTGTCTTACACAAATATATGCCTTGGAGGCATCAGGACAGTTTCCCACTGTGTAGTTGACCTTGAATCTTCAGGGAGCCAGTGCAGTGCCTTCCCAGCTCTGTGCTCTTGGCTAGGAACACACGTGAACGTGCATCTCTGTGGCTCAGCTGTGGTGGATGCTCCGAGCTCGGCAGCTGCTCTGCGGGACAACCAGGAGGCTGTCTGCCCCGGCGAAGAGTGATGATCTCAGAGACCCTGCCCAGGGTCTATGAGTCCTGACACTGTGCTGCTTGTAGAATCAGATGAGCCAACATGCAAAGGGAGTTGGTTAAGCCTGTCCAAGCGGCCTACAGAAGCTGACATGCAATGGAACCACTTAGCCCTGAAGCACACAGCCCAGGAGGCACTGCTCGTGCAAATCTCCAAATTCTGGAGGAGCCTGCACCCATTAGTGAGGGTCTGTGGTGTGTGCTGGTATACCAAGCAGGCACAGGCTGTTTGTCCAGGGCAGGAACAGCACCAGTAACCCCATGGCTGGGAAGCGGGGGCGGGTGTGAGCCGCAAAGTTTTCTACGTGGCCAAAGCAAGTGTTTTTGTCCTCTGGCTCCCTTGGGCCCCCAATCCTGTGCTAGGCAAAGTGGGCTGTGTACCTGATGCAGGTTGGAAGGAGAAGAGGGAGTTAATGGAAGGACACATTCACCCAGCTATGCGGTGGAAGGCAGGGCACCTTACCCTCCTGGGAGGTCAGGACAGTGCTTTCAGCATTTTGGGGGTCATACTCCACAATGACCCGGTGGCCATGAGCACACACAGGTTCACACACGCACAGAGAACTGAAACAAGAGTTTCATGGGGCCAATACTTATCTATAGGACCCATAGAACATTTCATCATCATTAATCTTTTCTGTTGTAGTCTATCCCAGGCTTGTCTATTCTATGTCACCTACACAGCACGAGAAGCGATCCCCTGCTCATTAAAGGGGTGTCCCTCTCTCGTGATGAGCTGCTGCCCTCGGTGAAAAGCCGGGCCTCAAGCAGCTGGTGTCCGTTCCTCACCACATAGGCCTGGCCCTGTCTGATACAACTTTACAGGCACCGAAACATGGGCGAAAGGGGACAGCCAACGGTGTACGATATGAAGATAAGAATACTTTATCATTTATCAAGGGCTCATGAGGGTGGGAGAGTAGGGGAGGGAGGGAAAAAGGAGGAGCTGATACCAAGGGCCCAAGGAGAAAGAAAATCTTTTGAAAAGGATGATGGCAACTTATGTACAAATGTGCTTGACACGATGGATGTGATGTATGGATTGTGATAAGAACTGTAAGAGCCCCAATGAAATGATTTATGTAAAATATTTTTCCAGGCACAAACTATAGGCAGCCATGTATATTTTGTGTGCTTTGAAGGATACCAGGGAGCCTTGGTGGTGTAGTGGCCTATGCACTGAGCTGCTAACCACAGGTCTGTGGTTCAAACCCACCAGCCATTCTTTGTTGGGAGAAAGATGAGCCTTTCTACTCTAACAGTCTCAGAAACCCACTGGGGCTGTTCAATTCTGTCCGATAGAGTCTGTATGAGTCAGAATCAACTAAATGGCAGAATGTGGTGGACGTAGGTTAAGGGATCTCAGTGAGAAGATTCAGAAAATGCCCCACCCCCAGGAAGCCCTGCCTGCCCTGCCGGTGAAGGGCCCTTTAAGTCCAGTCTAATTAGCCACCCCACCCCCACTCAGGCACTGGCTCTCTCCAACAACGTGTGGATACAGGGAAAGGAGTGCTCCCGGGGCTTCATCCCTAATATGGAAGAAGCTACACAAACACAAAGCTACAGTGCAACGGGGTCACTGTAACAGTGGAGCTATTTATAAGGTTCTCCGAGTGCAGAGGGCAGGGGAAGGGCTGACTCTGGGAGCCATGTGGAAGGTGTGACAGGGAAGAGCCGCTCTGTGAATAGGTGGGAATTTGCCAGGCAAATAAGCAAGGGGGAGGGGATGGATCTGCAAGAGCAAAGTTCTGATCCACCAGTCACCATCCAGTCAGTTGTGACTCAGGTGGGTCAGAGTAGAATGATGCTCCTTGAGACTCTCAGGGGCTGGTGTTTCAGAAGCAGATTGCCAGGCCTTTATTCTGCGGTACCGCTGGTTGGACTTGACCCTCCAGCCTTTCAGTTACCAGCCAAAATAGTAACCGTTTGCATTACCTAGGTTTCCAACATTCTTAGAGCTCTTAAATATATTTTCTACCCACTCATGTTTTCTTTGGGAGCCTGAGTGGCATCGTGGGTTATGGGTTGGGCTGTTCACTGCCAGGTCAGTTGTTTGAAGCCACCACCTGCCCCAAGGCAGAAAGATAAGGCTTTCTGTTCCCTTCAAACTTTACAATCTTGGAAACTCACCAGGGCAACTCTACTCTGTCCTCCTTGGTTATGAGCCAGGATCATCTGTTGGCAGTGGTTGTCTAAAGCTTTCTTCAAAGTGGGCCACGAGGGTTTCATCCCTATAGATTTTGATCCTACAGAGACAAATCCCTCTGGGATGTTTTCATACCTCCATTTTAGTTCCCTATTGAGAATAGGGTTTGATAAGGGAAAGGAGAGAAGGGAGAGGATGTAAAGACGCTAAAAGCTTAAGCAGAAAACAATCAAGTAAAATGACTGTGAGAAGCACCAGACTCAAACTCTGCTTCCCAATTTGGCCTCAGTCTAACTCTGGAGGCCCTGGGATCAGTGCATGGTGAACAGCTCTTCATGTTGTTGTTAGGAGCCATTGCATTGGCTCGGACTCACAGTGACACTCATAGTGCATGACAGAATGGAGCGCTGCCCGATCCTGTACCATCCTCACAATTGTTGTTACGTTTCAGCCCATTTTTGCAGCCACTGTGTCAATCCATCTCATTGAAGGTCTCCTCTTTTTCACCGAGGAGCCTTGGTGGTGTAGTGGCCTATGCGCTGAGCTGCTAACCACAGGTCTGTGGTTCAAACCCACCAGCCACTCTTTGTTGGGAGAAAGGTCTTTCTCTTTTTCACCGACTATACCGCACCTGGGCTCGTTTTGGTCTTGTCCTTTCAGCCAATGGAAGCGCCAAACGCGTTTCTCCATCGCATTATTAAGGTTGACGTCACATTGAGGAGGCAGCTCTTCCTCGGTCGTATTTTGAGTGCTTTCCAACCCGAGAGGCACATCCTTGCTCTAGATCAGACAGTGTTCTGCTGCTACTCGTCAGGGTTCTTTGTCACTTGGAAGCAGACAGTCTGTTCCCTCTTCTTCGTCTGTTTTTAATCTGGAAGCCTCACTGAAACCTGTTCACCATGGTGACCCTGCTAGTATTTGAACTCTTGTTGGCACAGCATGAGAGCCACCCCAGCACAGTAAACTGACAGAGGAGTGAGGAATCTACAGCTCTCTGCAGATATTCCATAAATGTTTGTTGAAGGAATGAAAAAAAGTGCTAGATCTCAAAAGAACGTCCTAAATCATGTAGTTTATTCTGAGCCA